AACAAAACATTCCTCATAAAATGGGAGATTTGGGGGCATTAAGACTAAGAGGAATCAGGTGTGGCAACTGATATCCATGGCCATAGCTTTATTTTTAACTACTATCCATGGCATTTGTAATGCTTTGTATCATCATAAGGGAAATTTCTAGCACTTTTCATGACATTATTAGAAGAATTTGTAACACATGAATGTTTAAAATTGAATCATGTACATGTTAGAGACTCTAAGAAGTTGAAACCAGCTTACTGTCTAGTCTCAGGACTAAGGGGTTAATAACTTTATTAATCATGAGACCTTCTGCTTCTGATTATTTGGCTAATAAAATAGATTCATCCATATGGGTTGACTGTATGTTATTTCCAAGGTAAGAAGAATAAACATAAAATCTTTGACATATAAAATTATTTTTACATTAATATATTTTCAATGATATTCTGTATGATGCCATTTAAATGTTATTTCTCAAGAGTGGGTAAGAAAGGTCTTTTATGAAAGAGGATCTGTATTAGGGTAATAGAATTTAGCAGAACTGTTTCAAGAATAAGTCGCAGGAGCTTTGAGAATCATTTGAATCAAAACTACTGATTCTTCCTTGCTTTTAAGGTTGTATTCATTTCTTCAAAAAAGACATATATTATGATGACTCAGTATATTATAATTGTAAACGATAACATGAATATACCTGTGATTTTTGGTTTTCAACCTAACTGGCTCTTGGCTGGTGATCAAAAATTTAGTTATTGTAAGTCAAATCATTCATTATATCCTAGAGACATCAAATTATAAATTTCATTTATGTTTATGGAAATACACTTCAAACTGTAAAAGTACAAAAGTTTAAGGCATATACATATGTGTGGGCACATACACATAGGTACGTGCAAAGTTTATTAAGTTTATAAAGCCAAAACCAATGGATAAACCACCACAGAACAAGAAGAGGGATCTAATGGTAGAAATAGAGATAATTATACATCAAAAATTTTGAAAATATTGGTAAGATGTGTGTTTATTATATTATAAATCACTGAAATTGGCACGAGTCAAATTACTATGGAAGAAATTTTTTAAGTTGTTCTGTAATGCCCTCCAGAGAGTTAATAGTCTCAGCTGCTTTTGTGAAAGTTACTTTAAACCTTCTAAGTATGTATAATTGCTAAGGTGTCTAAGTTGTTGTAGAGCACCATAAAAGAAAGAATTTTTCATGATTTATTTTAAGAGCTTAGCATATTTCTGATCTGAAAACCTGAAAAATATAGTATAAAAATAGGAAGCTTAAAAACACACTATTAATAAAGTCGCTAAAATTATAAATAAATCTTATAAAACTGAACGCCATAGCATAGCAAAATACCATGTCCTGATTTAGTATCTGCCAGCAATTCCTCTTGCTTACATATAATTTGTATACTAAGCAAAATCCCATTATTAATGCCTCTCATTACAGTAGTGGTTCTTAAAAAGGGGGAATAAATAGGGGGAGTAAATAGGTAGTTGGAAAAAGATATGTGCTTACCGTGCCAGTCCTCAAGAGAAGCCACTGTCCCAGGGGCCTCAGGAAATAGATTTTTAAATGATCCAATTTTCCTCTCTGTTCTTTCCTGAATTTCCTAAATGCTTTAAAACACACATATCTCATTTATAATACTAAAAAATTAATCAGAAATATTCAGAAGGAAAGCAAAAAGCAAAGAAGACACAATGCAACAACATCAAACAAAAAACATCATAAATGTTCCTGTGTGACAATGAGATGTAGTCTTTAAAATATGAAACCAATTAAGTTTGGACTGAAGCCTTCTCTTATTCCCATCAATATTCCTGTCCAGGCATGAGTATTCTTCAATGCTCCAAAACCTTTGAAATTGCATTCAAATTAGGACCATGTGTCCCAAAATTTAAATGGCTGACCAGTGTTCTCTAAAATTTTTTGAAAGGTGAGATCTGATGTCTTCTAAGACCAGCTCAGACTGAGTCAGTCAAAGCACCACCAACTTTTGCCTTGGAGCAGTGTTGGCCAATGTTAGGGGTATTTAGACATCATAATACTCTACAGGTCTTCTTTATTATGAAACAATGTAACATTCAAGCAAGGGGTTCACAGTTAAAGCCAATGAAAATTGGAATTGGTCTAAAACTGTGACTGCACCTTTAAGTCAAATTGCCACAGGTCAAGACTATTTTTACTAAAACTCAATTTTATGTTGTATAGAGACTATACTAAAAACTTTATGGAGTATAGAGACCATTTATACTAAAACTCAATTTTATGGAGTATAGAGACATAATTTTACTGGGCATAGAGACATATAACTTATACAGTTATAATGTGTACATATATATGTATATATAATGTATGTGTGTGTGTGTGTGTGTCTATTATGGGTTGAATTATGTCTCTTCCAAATTCATGTTAAAGTCTTAATACCTAGTACCTCAGAATGTGACTGTATTTAGAAATAGGGCCTTTAAAGATGTAATTGAGTTAAAATGAGGTCATTATGGTAATCCCTGATCCACTAGACTGGTGTTTATATAAAAAGAGGAAATTTGGATCGGGACATGCTCTGAGGGAAGACCGTATGAAGACACTGGAAAAGATGGCCATCGATAAGCCAAGGAGTGAGGTCTCAGGAAACATCAACTCCTTACATCCTAATCTCAGAATTCTTTGTCCCAGAACTGTGAAAAAATTGATTTCTGTTGTTTAAACCACTCAGTCTATGGAACTTTGTTATGGTAGCCCTCGAAAACTAATACAGTATGTGTGTGTATTTGTATGTGTGTATGTGTGTAATTTGAAATATAATTGTTTCTCATGTCAGCTAGAGTCACCCTTAGCACATAATACCTCATTTCCTTGATTGTGGAGAGTCTCAGTTCCTCCCAGAGATACTTGCAAGCTCCTAGAGACCAGTGTCCTAGCTTCAACCTCCTGCCTCTCCTGAATTACTTCAGTTCAGATGTCATTTCACCATCTCCAACTTTTATCGTCCTCGTTTTGCTAACATAGGGTGGACCTCAGGTCTTTCCATTAATTTCCATCAAAATAAAATAAATAGTAAAATTTGAAATTACTTTTAAATTTTGTAGTCTTATTGGAATTTTTAACTAACAACCAAAACCAAAATAAAATTAAAATCCACCTTCACACAAAGTAATTGTGAACGTGGCTGACTTTATATCCCAGAACAGCAAAGAACTTAAAATTGAATTTTGGCTATTTCTGCTTCAACATAGTCTCTTAGCCACTTCCACAGTGGTAATCCAGCTTCCTGCTAAGTTCTAATGTTACAGATCTTATTCTCTCCTCCTCCTCCTTTTCCTCCCACACTACCTCCTTCTTCTGCTCTTTTCTCTTCTATACCTCTCTCCCTCCATCTTTCCTCTATATAGCCTGATCTCTACTCTTTTCTTGGCTCTTCCCTCATCCCCATAAGTTTGACTATCACTTTTTGTGAGTTATCTCATGTTCTCAGGATCTCCTTTTCTACATCAAGGAGCTAGTCAAACTATTTCCTCAAACAAAGACAGTTCCCTTCCTGAAAGAAATCCTGGAGCTAGCTGTTGAAGTTTACCCCTGCTACCTTACATTTGGCCAAGTCACTGAAAAGAGTGAATGAAGGTAATTTTTCAAGTTTCTTTTTCACTCTGATTCAAAAGGAATTAACATCAATCATTTGACATCACTTATCAATACCTTACCCTTCTTTTTGTGCTCTAGTTTGACTGAGATCTAAAATCTTCTTTATGCCTATTAGAAATTACTTTTAAATTTTTAGTCTTATTGGAACTTTTAACTACACATATAAACTCTGAACCTTATTTTTCAACCATCAACTGCTGTATTTAGCAAATGATTTAAAATATGATTTCAAAGTGGAGGGTTTGAAAACTAAGAATCTTCTTATAATGCTCTATGAGGAACATAATGCTCTATGCTTACTTTTGTCTTACTTTTGCATCAACAATATGTGTTGATGTAGATTGCTTCATTGAAGAATGCTAGTTTATGTTTTGAGGAAGAAAATGAAAATAAGTTCTGGTTAAAAATCACTTCTAGGAAACAGGCTGCTACTGCCACCTGGGGGATGCTCTTTCTGCTTCATTCAGGAAGCCAAATGTGCTTGTCAGATGAACAAATCCCGTGTGTGTTTTGCTGTCTAATCCACATAGGCAGAAGACTTTTTAACTTTTGCCCATGAAGTCATAAGGCATTCCAGATGTCTCCAAGATTCCATCACAGAAATAAGTATTTCACAGACTTTTCAAGAGCTACAGGAGAAGATGACCAGATACAATGGTACAAAGTTTCTACGTCTTACACACTAAGAAAGTATTTTGCAAAGTCTGGGTTATATACTAAGAAGTGGAAAGAATAAAATTTAAACTTTCAATAGAAAAATAAACCCCCAATATTAAGCAAAATTTATTTGGAGTCAAATTATAGTTAATTGTACTCCTTTTCTGAAATATGTTATTATTGATATGGAAATTGCATGCTGATATAATCATGTTAATAATTACATCAATTACAATAATAAATTTCATGAAAATAGCCAAGAGAATTTCCTTAGAGAATTTTTAAGTTTATGAACTAAATACTGCTATGTAGTTAATACCTACTTATTGTATATTACATATCTATTTGTTAAAACTTTATGAAGTAGTGATATGGTGCTTATCAATTACAATGGAAAAAACTGTGACATTGCTTTTGAATGTTTTGTTTCTGTTTAAAAGTTGCTAATCTTGCATTTCTTTATGTTATAGATAAATTGTTACCTATTAGCAGTGCCCTGAAACAAAGAATTAGTCCTGGAAATAAAAGTTTCAGGAAGTACTTACTGAAATTATAAGTCCGTCAGGTGACATAAAAAAGTCAGTGCTGATTAGAGGAAGACAACTAATCATTTATAGAGAAGATTCTGGTAATAGATTAACTAAAAAAATACATACAGTATCAGTCCCTGAGTGGTACAATAACACTGTCAGAAGGTCAAAGTTCATACCAAAGAACAACTGTACCAGCTTGAGGGAAGTCTCTGTGGAGAAAGCGTTTTTAAATTGGAAAAGGTATGTGATATATCCCAATCCCAAGTGGATTGGGATTCCATAATTAATTTTTTTTAATCATGTCTGATTCAGGAGTAAAAAGAAATCTGAGCAACTGTGGTGTAGCTGACACAGCTGAAGGAGCTGGGTGAGCTGGGGTCACCTTGAGGGATCCCCAAAATGAAGTCCTTTTGTATGAGGGTGTGAGGTTCCTTCAAGACATTCATTATTAGACTCTTGGGAGACTGGGGTGAGGGACATTAAAGGACAAGGAAGGCCAGAGGTACATAAAACTGTAAAATAGAAGCACCAGTTCTAAGCAAAAATAATAAATATGTACTTCTAAATGTCTTATTTCTGAATCAGTAGATTGAGCATGTTTGGCAGTTGGTCAACAGCTCTGCCTTACTGATCTAATGAAAATGATTAATGCCCTTAAAATGCTGTGTAAAGGGCTTATGCTCTGTACAAGAGATTAACTACATATTAGGATTATTGTAAATGGAATATTCTCTCAAGGTTCTCCTTGCTCCTAACTGAGCTGCACAATATATTGGGCTTTACTTTCTTTTTAAATAATCAATATTTTACTATGGTGGATAATAATAATAAATAATTTATTAATTACTTACATAATAGAAATTACAAGTCATTCTCATTTTCATCAGAAGGTTGCTGGTTGTAAAAAAAAAACGTTTAGTAAATAGAAATAGAAGTCTGTGAATTACTCATTTTTCACAGGAGAGAAGCATTCAGGAAGTCAGGAAAGAGTCTCTTGCAGATGCCACTTGTGTATTCATGAGGAAGGGAGGTGAGGAGGTAAGGAACATTGTTTAAAATGCAAGCAGGCTGTTTCTTCCACTGTTCTGTTCCTTCTTCTCCACCAAGAATGAATAATTTTCAAATATTCTTTCAAATGCTGCTAGCTTTGTTCCTGAACTCAGGAACCTCAGTACTCATTCCTAAACCAACTTAACCTACCACATTAATGACTTAACATACTCCTCCTAAACATGGTTTACATTATCTTCATGTAATTTGGGTGTTTTCTTCTCACTTCCCTGCAATTATCACTTTTTTTTCCCTTCCTTATCTGTATTTGGCTTTTCTCTCCTCTCCAACTGCAAACTACTACTGTTATTTCAATTTTCCCCCTGTCAACAGGTTATTTCACTTTATTGGAGCAGTCTTCCATGCCTTAGTCACGATAGTGAGACAAAAGCAAATTAAAGGTAATCCTTGGAGTGCTCTAGGCCAGGTAAAAAGCTTTCCACTGGGTGAGTGTAAAAGCCTGACTTGCCTATGATGAGCTTTGTTTACCCATAGCCATGATGGACTCTAAGAAGATGGTCATCAACTTGGCCCTCTTTGGCATGACTCAGAGTGGAAAAAGTTCTGCTGGGAACATTCTTCTGGGAAGCACTGACTTCCACAGCAGCTTTGCTCCATGTTCTGTGACCAAAGATTGTAGTCTGGGCCGCAGCTATCACCTCAATGGCTTCATGCGTCGAGCAGGGCAAGAGATAAGCCTGCAAGTCCAGGTATTAGACACTCCAGGTTATCCACACAGCAGGCTGAACAAGGAGTATGTGAAACAGGAAATCAAGGAGGCCCTGGCACGTCACTTCCGGCAAGAAGGTCTTCACCTTGCCCTGCTGGTCCAGAGGGCAGATTTGCCTCTTTGCGGACAGGAAGCATCTTCCCCAGTCCAGATGATCCAGGTAACACAAAGAGGCAATTATGTTAATGCCATTATTCATATTTGGAGGATATTATCCTAATGGGAAAGAACTATGAAAAACTGGTTAAAAAGTAGTTTAAATGCAAGTGCTGGTCACATAGAAATAGTTGGTAAAAATTCGTTGATTTTTCCCACCAAAAGTGATTTTTACAATTTCCTTTGGAGGCATTCAGTCAGTCATTTTAGAACTGAGTCATAGAAAAGAAAATTAGATACTAAACTTCAGACATTAACTAAGCATCAAAACCCTTAGAGCTGTAAACCTTAGTTTGTAAATGTGAACCCCAGACTATCTGCATCAGAATCAGCTGGCCTGCAGATTCATCCATGCCCTTCGAAAACTAAATCTGAAGTGCAAAGCCTACATATGTGCATTTGCATAAACTTTCCATATATCTTAAAAACAGTCAAATCTGAAAACCACTGAACTAAAATACTGACTTGCATACATTCAACAGTAAGGGGACAGTCTCTTATAGCTCACTGACAAATTGGTGTTCATTCACTGATTCAGTCACTGAACACTATATTGAGTATCTGTACAGAGCTTAATGACTGGTGAATAATATATGAGACCTGCCTCAAAAAGATAACGGTCTAGAAGAGACAAACATAAGACAGTTTATTCAGTGCCAAAGTCATGTAACAGTATGACTAGGGAGAGAGGGGTCTTCACTGAGACATACATCATGATAAATATTCAGGGGTGATTTGTGCTTTAATTATAGGAAAGAAATCAGGAATTTCAGATGTCTGGTTGCCTCATTATTGGCAGAGTTAGTGACTGTTCCATCCCAGCCCAGAACCACAGGAACCTCAGGGCAAACATAAATAACATAGGCCACCTTTGCCTAGTGGTCCATTCCTGTTTGTTTATTCATTTATTGTAAGTTGCTAACTTGGAGGCTTATTCAGTCAGTCTAGGAGAAAAGCTGGGCACAGGGGAGGGCCTGGGTATGGCCACAGCTAAGAGCTGGAGGGAGTAATACCTATATACTGTTCACATACATGTATGAGCAAGGCCCATGTACAACCAACAATTTCTGTTCCAAAAATTGTGCTGCTCCATTCTATTCAATCTCTTGATTCTCTAATGTGGGGCTGCACACATTTAACTGCTGGACTTTCATAGTATTACACGATAACCCTATTAAGTCAGAGATCAGATAATTCAACTCTACTAGAAGCTCCCAGGCAAGCTACATGGAGAATGAAGAGTATTTGTCATTCAAGAATTTGTTTAAATGCCACTCTTTTTCTGGTCCAATCTCTAATCATGCTGATATAGGATCGGTTATACTTAGAATCGAAGTTTACACTAGTATACTTCACTTTAAAGATTTTTTTCCTTTAACTAGTAAACTTCTAAATTTTAGACAGACACGTTTTGTTTTCCATTAACCATTCTTGTTTCTAAAAATGAAAAAAAAGCCCATGTGTAATCATGGAAACTAGCGGAAAAAATTAGGGTGACAAGAGTATAAAAAATACCCCTCATCATCCAACGCCTGAAAAATCAAGGACATACTGTACAAAAGCAAAGAAGAATAAAAGATGATTGCAATTAAGAAACAATGTGGAATATAAGAAAGCCTATAAACCTCCCCCAAACCATTAAAGCCTGAATTTCAAGCAATATTCCTGGTAGAAATCAAGTAGGGGGGATAAAACTGCTGCCATTCCATCAGCATAATTTTTAAACAGTTTTAAAAATTCATTTAAAGCTGCTATTAAATAAACATTTAGCATAAACTATAGATGGTTGTAATTCAGTAAATGCATAAACAAGTATTTCTCAAAAAACTAACTTGACTTTGTCCATATGTCTCTAAATTTTTCTCTTTGCTGGTCCTATGCTGAGCCAAAAAGCGTATTTTAAAAACATACATTTTGTAAATAGATTTTTCCAGTTTTAGAATACAGAACACTATCTTAATCCTCTAATTTTTTTAAACAAGTGAATTCGATTCATACATTTCTCTGATCTTTTTAAATGGTATCTGGCATTCGGCCTTCAGTGTCCAGTTCAGGAGTTGAAAGCTGAAAGAAGATGGGCTATGGCAAAACTCAGGTCCAGAATTTCTTTTTTTCATGAATAAATAACTTCTCTCTTTGCTTTAATTATAGGAAAGAAATCAGGAATTTCAGATGTCTGGTTGCCTCATTATTGGCAGAGTTAGTGACTGTTCCATCCCAGCCCAGAACCACAGGAACCTCAGGGCAAACATAAATAACATAGGCCACCTTTGCCTAGTGGTCCATTCCTGTTTGTTTATTCATTTATTGTAAGTTGCTAACTTGGAGGCTTATTCAGTCAGTCTAGGAGAAAAGCTGGGCACAGGGGAGGGCCTGGGTATGGCCACAGCTAAGAGCTGGAGGGAGTAATACCTATATACTGTTCACATACATGTATGAGCAAGGCCCATGTACAACCAACAATTTCTGTTCCAAAAATTGTGCTGCTCCATTCTATTCAATCTCTTGATTCTCTAATGTGGGGCTGCACACATTTAACTGCTGGACTTTCATAGTATTACACGATAACCCTATTAAGTCAGAGATCAGATAATTCAACTCTACTAGAAGCTCCCAGGCAAGCTACATGGAGAATGAAGAGTATTTGTCATTCAAGAATTTGTTTAAATGCCACTCTTTTTCTGGTCCAATCTCTAATCATGCTGATATAGGATCGGTTATACTTAGAATCGAAGTTTACACTAGTATACTTCACTTTAAAGATTTTTTTCCTTTAACTAGTAAACTTCTAAATTTTAGACAGACACGTTTTGTTTTCCATTAACCATTCTTGTTTCTAAAAATGAAAAAAAAGCCCATGTGTAATCATGGAAACTAGCGGAAAAAATTAGGGTGACAAGAGTATAAAAAATACCCCTCATCATCCAACGCCTGAAAAATCAAGGACATACTGTACAAAAGCAAAGAAGAATAAAAGATGATTGCAATTAAGAAACAATGTGGAATATAAGAAAGCCTATAAACCTCCCCCAAACCATTAAAGCCTGAATTTCAAGCAATATTCCTGGTAGAAATCAAGTAGGGGGGATAAAACTGCTGCCATTCCATCAGCATAATTTTTAAACAGTTTTAAAAATTCATTTAAAGCTGCTATTAAATAAACATTTAGCATAAACTATAGATGGTTGTAATTCAGTAAATGCATAAACAAGTATTTCTCAAAAAACTAACTTGACTTTGTCCATATGTCTCTAAATTTTTCTCTTTGCTGGTCCTATGCTGAGCCAAAAAGCGTATTTTAAAAACATACATTTTGTAAATAGATTTTTCCAGTTTTAGAATACAGAACACTATCTTAATCCTCTAATTTTTTTAAACAAGTGAATTCGATTCATACATTTCTCTGATCTTTTTAAATGGTATCTGGCATTCGGCCTTCAGTGTCCAGTTCAGGAGTTGAAAGCTGAAAGAAGATGGGCTATGGCAAAACTCAGGTCCAGAATTTCTTTTTTTCATGAATAAATAACTTCTCTCTTCCAGGAGAACTCAGAAACTGAGACTTAGTAATCCTCAAAGGGACCCACAACCCCTGGGAGGCACTGTAGTCCTATTCTGGGCTTCCACTCTGATCTTTGGTTGAAGATTGCCTAAGTCCAGGCTGGCTCTTTATGACCTTCTTCCTGAAGATGCCTCAGATACTGGTGGTAGCCATCTGGATATGCTCACAGATTGTGAACAGCTGCAGAATGTCTGAATATTCAACAGGACCAGCAGCTGTTAGAAAGGAGCAAGGAGTTGTTAAGGTCCTCTGGTTCCAGACACACCCTGGGTTTCTTTTCTTCCTGGCTCATGCAAAATGGAGAATGGAATATCTGCCTTCTCCCTTTACATTTCCCCTTTCTGGAGGCACTGATGGCTGCCATGCAAGGTGTCTGCAAGGCCAATGACAGAGAAATGACCTCTTCTTCTCTGTGCCTCCTTATTCTCTCCTAAATCTCTTTCTGAATTGGTGCTCTGATATTTTACAGAGGTATTTATAGGCTGTCAGCTGTGACAACTGAAACATTTCTCCAAATGAATCCTTTTTATTTATGGTAGGCCTTTTTTAATTTATAAGCAAAATGGTAGAGATGTCAGTCATCTCCTGAAAACTGGGAAATAAAGGGAATCATTCATCTGAATGTTAAGGGTATCATTTGAAAGTTTAAAAAGTAATAGGTTAGAGCAGATATAGTAAAGACACCTTAAGGAAAGTGCTAGCATGCAGCCAAACTGGACTAGGAACTGAATCCGGGAATTGACTAATAACCATTGTTTCCATTATCATGGTATCATGTATTATTACTGTACACAATCAGGCTTTAAGCATGTATTTTTGTTTTAGAATGAACAACTAGACTATGTTGTTACAGGTGGGTGTGTATATAAAAGGCTCAGAAAGGCTAATGCAAGGCTTGAAAATACTAAACAAAGATCATGGGCTTAGTTGTTCAATAGCATTTAGCCAAAAAATAAGCCTTGTTACAATTCTCGGTATATGACTATAAATGTTGCTAAGATGTCCTTCTCTTCTGTTGCTCACTTATAAAGTGGGGATACTTTTACCTCTATTAAAGGGTTCTGAGGGCTAAATTTAATGAGGGTAATGTGCTTGGCCTTATGCCTGACTTACAGTAGGTTCACAGTAAGTTCGCAGAAAACTGCTACTACTGTTTTTGCTTTTATTATCATCACTACCCAGACTATGATGAGTACCTATTCAGATGAATTACTAGACATAAGCAACGTATTATAGAGGTTAAGAACATAGGTTCCGGAGTAAGTTTTAATTGTGTTCAAGCTCCAACTTAGCTACCTAACTTGCTTTGTGACCTTGGGCAAGGAACTTCTCTAAACTAATTTAATCTCTTCCTTGGTAAATTGGGAAAGATAAGAGTGTCTGTTTAACTGGGTTCCTTTTGGAATTAATGTCAATTAACATAATAGTAAATTAACTCAGACATTGGCACATAGCAAGTGCACAAATATTAGCTACAACCATTATGATCTATTGTTAGTATTTGTCTTATCCTAAAATTAGGACTTATTATTTGTGGCCTTCTTTGGGATTATCTTGATAGGACTTCAGAAGATAGTAAAAGTGAAAATAAACTTACACAGTTTAAAAGAACTTCCTTATTGATTCAGAAAAAAATCTGGAAGGAAAATTCACCGGTTTAGTCAGGTTAAATTGAGCAGCACCAATTTAGTGGGAAGGACATGCACCCGGCAGCCAGGGCACCTCTTTTACACACTCAGGCCTGCCAACACACAGTTATGCAGCTTTGGCCAAGCCGGTTAACATCACAAGGCCTCGATATCCTCAGCTATAAATAGGACCTTTTGGACAGACCATCTCTAAGGTTGAATATTCTCTCAATCTCATGTCTCTGGTCTTATCATTCAGCTTTGGCTCCCTGAAAAGGAAAATGTGGTGCTTTAAGTGGGATGAGAGTAAGGGAATAGCATAAAATATAAAGAATGGTCCATATTGTCCTCCTGTTCCATGATAATTTTTTTTCTCAGTTGATGTAATAGTTGGCTTTTTTTAAAGTTTCCCCCTAAAAAGTCCAGATGCTATGATTTCATCAACCACAAACAAATGGGGCAGGGCTAGTGAGGTCCTGGGAAAATGAACATAATTCCTGGAAAACAAAGTTTATATCCTAACTAGGTGTCCCAAAAGGACTAGATGGACTCATACCCATTAGCACTCTGAAACCAAACAATTCATGATTGATTGTAAAATTTCCATCTAGCTTAGTACTGTACTTAAATTATTAACACCGGATAACTTACATTAACTTATCTTGCTCTTGGATTTTTATGTGAGGTATCAATCAACTAAGATTATTCCTTCTCTGGGTCCACAGAGAACGTGTTTGGCCACTAAAATGATGAGTACACACCAAGCGACACTACTTTCAAAATTCAACTCTTCTCTGGCCAAAATCAATCTAAAGATTATAAGCTAAAACAACCATTCTGTTCTATTTTTTGGCAGTAATTCAAAAGTGCAATTTCTCTCACAGTGTAGGACATGAGCATCCTTTCATAAATAATTATCAACATGTAAAAATTTCCCAGTGGCTGAACATATGGACTCATAAGTGGTGTTGAGCTTACAAATCTATTATCCTTACGTGCTTTAACTCATTTTCCCTGAATGATATTATGATTTAAAGTATAGGAAATGTCTGGTGGAGACAAAGAGAGAACATGCTAATGTTACAATACAGAAAATCAGGAACTAAAGACATACTGTGAAAGGTATACTATTTAATGTAGTAAGTACTAACATAGCAATAAAAGAATTCTATGTTATGTAATTCAGAAAAGGATCACTTGAGCCAAGCAGTTTATGTAGCATGAATTTTTATTATGCTGATGTTTTAAAAATATTTAATGATAAACATGGTCCATTCATCAAACAATACCCAGGGGGTTGGTCTGGGAATAGCACTCAAGGGGTTAAGAGCAGTAGTTATTTAATAATTTGAATTAAATAATCAATAATATACTGGATGAATATCAGTCAAGATTTGAGAAACTTCAGAGACAAGAATGACAAAAGGATCAGTAGTTGTATTGAAATAATTTCAAAATCCCAATACTATACAATCCCCAATAGTGCTCAATTACTCTTTACTTGGTATATCTTTACTGCCTGACAACTCTCTTGTCAATTCCTATGCTCAAGACACCATCACATGCCAAAAATTGTCCTAACCCTTCCTTTACCCCCACTTAACACTTCCACCCCAACCTGGACTCAATGTCTGCCTCTTTAGCGCCAGTATATTTTCTAAAACACCACTTGCAATTACAATGAATTGGAAGTATTTTTTTTCCTGTCCCTCCCTCTTCTTCTTTAAGTTTAGTTAGTACACGAATCTCCACTAGATATAAGCAGGAAAAATACGTGTATTGCTCTGCTCTGTGTCCCTGGAACAAAATAGACCCTCAATAAATACTTTCAGAAGGAATAAATCACCTAGAGTGCTTTTAAAAATTCAAACTCCCAAGCTCCAGCCCTAAAGATTGTGATGCATTTTTAGCAAGCATCTCAAGTGATTCTGATGTAAATGGCCCAGGAATCTTCTTATTCCCAGAACCTAGATCTGATATACTTAATACTTCATTTTTTTTTCCCATTAACTTGCTAGGGCTGCCATAACAATGTACAACTGACTGAGTGGCTTAAGCAACAAATTTATCATCTCTCAGCTCTGGAGGCTAGAATCTGAAATATATGTTAGCAGGGATATTTCCTAATGAGGACTTANCTTGCTAGGGCTGCCATAACAATGTACAACTGACTGAGTGGCTTAAGCAACAAATTTATCATCTCTCAGCTCTGGAGGCTAGAATCTGAAATATATGTTAGCAGGGATATTTCCTAATGAGGACTTAAGTGAAGGATCTGTTCAAGGATTCCTTCCTCAGCTTATGGATGGCCATCTTTATGTTCACATGGCATTCTCCCTGTATTTGTGTCTTTGTTCAAACTTCTCTGTTTTATAAGGACATCAATCATGTTGGATTAGAGGTCCACCCTAATAACTCTATCTTAACTAATTACATCTGCAATGACCCTATTTCAAATAAAGTTACATTCTGAGGAACTGGAGGTTAGGACTTAACATATTTGGAGTGGGAGACACAATTCAACCCATAATAACCCTGATAATTTATTTTGCAACTCTCTGACCTCTCTCCTCATTGAATTGACTAGATGACAATATACTGAATATATGACAAACTCTGAAGAGGTCTGCTAATTTTGCTATGTCACTATTAGCTAAAATGTGATGTTGACATTAGCTGTACACTTAGATATATGCACGAGCTATGTTCTTTCAGAGTTGGGTTAAAGTTTTGCTAATTTGTGTTTTACTGGCACATACGAATATGTCATTTAAACTACCTGTTTGAAAGAGTCTTCTGTAAAGCTTAGAATTTTTCTGTTAATTACTCCTTACTTATCTTGAAACTTCAGATTTTCTTAATGCTGGACATTTTTAGAACTCAAAATATACAACTATTCTATGGTATACACAAATTCTGAACTGATATGAGGAAAAATTTTGGACCTATTCCCTGAGCCCCTCTAAACACAAAATATAAAGTGCAGACTACAGGAAAATCCATGATAATGAACTACAGAACAAAAGAGAAGTTTTACAGTAAAGTACAAACTTGTGTCCCAAAGATTCAACTTCAAAACTGCAGGCTCAAGACTAATAAATAAAACCCTAAACCTTCTCTTTGAGATCATGATGAGGGTCTGAATTCCAGATTAAGTTAACAGACATTTAATTAGAGTTCCAATGTGTTAGAGGCTTTGATTGATATAGAAAGACATACACTTTGCCTTCAAAGAGCTCAGTCAAGTTACAGAGACGGACGTGTAAATAAATATATAGTTCTGATAAAAAACAAACTGTACTAGGAATTTTCATTGGTAACCATGGTCTCAAGATATTTCTAATTTTAAATATATTATCCCACAGTTTCTGTATTTTCCTATTAGATTTCCAAGTCCTGATTCTTTCTTCCTTCCTCCCTCCTTCCCTCCCTTCATTACTCTTCTTATCTTTCTTTCATTATTTTGTTTTCTAATTGTATAAATACTAATCCTGTATTTGTCATATACACTTAAAATAGTTTCCCAAGCTGTCTTTCAATTTCTTCAAGATTTTCAAAACCAGACTTTGCACTAACCTCTCTATGCACATTTCTCTGTGTCATAATGGAGATAATAACTATCTCCCACAAAGCATCATGTTGCGCTTCCAAAGAGATAAAGCAAGTAAAGTACTTAGCATAACATCTGACACAAAATTTTAATTGTTCTCCCTTTTTTCTTTCTTCTGATTATTAGAGGACCTGGATATTTGTTATGTTCATTCCTAAGCATTTCATATTTTTCTTGTTATTATAAACTGGTAACAGAAATATTTTGGTAATGGGAGTGTTCGGAATGGAGGGAATGCTGCTTTACTGTCACAATGTCAGGATTTCATATAACTTTGGAAATAAAAAAAATCAAATGGTTATTTCTAGATCCCTTTCATATTATGTGAAAAATTTGCCACATGCTGTTACTTCTGCTTTACATCAGCATATTTTTACTAATCAAACAAAAATTTAGTACATAACCAACTTCCACATATTACTAAACAAAGGAATACCAGTCTTCAATGTTTTTCAACCACATTAGAGTAAGTCATCTAATAAATTGGGTTTGATTCAAGCAAGTGAAGAGGATGCAAATCACAATGGCATTTTGTAGTTGTTGCAAATCACCAAATGTATTTTGATATGAGCTTTTCCATTATTATGTTATCTGATTAATCAATAGATTGTAACCAAATAATGTGAATATAAATCCTTGGAATATGCTTTTAGTGACAGTGATAACACAACTTCCTACAAAAAAAGATATGAAAATTCCTTTGGCTGTCTTCTGACTTAGAGGAATTCATTGGTTCTAACATACAGAGGTTGACAGGCAAATATAAATGATTGTCAAATGCTGTAAATATAATTACATCATATGCGGCATTGATAATATGCAGTTTTGAGGTTGTTTATACGTAAATTCTAACAGCAAAATAAAATGGAGAACTAAGACCACTTTTAGAAAGTCTACCCATCTCTTTCCATTTATTTCCTTTATTTGACCCCATCTCCACTTCCCATTACATATATCAATTTTTAGAAACAAAATGACATACAGATATGTTGATTGTCTATGTTGGACCCTAATAACTCATTTGCTCATTTTTGAGGAATATAATCCAAGGAAAATAGCCATTTAACTTCTCTCTTTCAGGAACTTTTGGGACATGCTTGGAAGAATTATACTGCCATCCTTTTCACCCATGCAGAAAAAATAGAAGAGGCTGGATTCAGTGAAGATGAATACTTACATAAGGCCTCTGATACACTGCTAAACCTACTAAATTCTATTCAGCATAGATATATTTTCCAGTATAAAAAAGGAAACTCACTTAATGCACAAAGAGTAAAAATCTTAGAAAGAATCATGGAATTTATAAAAGAAAATTGTTACCAAGTTCTTACCTTTAAATAAAATTAAGATGAAAGGAAAAGACCATTGCATTTTAGTGTCAGAACCTTTGGTTTCAACAGTGTCTTTGTTAGCATGGGTGTGGACTGTTAGAATTTCCATGTTGTTGGTAAGAGTATACATTGGTATTAACCTCTTTGGAAAACTGTCTGGTAGTTGAAAACATAAAGGGGATTCAAGATATCTAAGGAAAATCTTATGACACAGCAACTACACTCCTAAGTAAATATCTAACTGAAATGTATACATTTGTGCACTAAGAGACATGTATGTAAAAGAATGTTCATAGTACTGCTATGACAGCAGTACTACTAATCGTAGCTAAAAGATGGAAATTATCCAAATGCCCATTAATAGCAGAATGGACAAGCAAATTGGGGTATATTCACAAAATGGAATATTATATAGAAATGAGAATGAGCAAACCACAATTGCATGAGCAATTCAATGAATTGTCCAAATATAATATTGGCAGAAAGAAGCCAGACATAAAAGAGTACATACTGTATGACTGCATTTGTATGAAATTCAAAACAGTGGCGATGAACATGTAATCTAAACTATTCTGATTTTAGAAGTGCTGGAAATCAGGAGAGTAATTATCCTTATTGGGGGTATATAAATCCTTGGAATATGCTTTTAGTGACAGTGATAACACAACTTCCTACAAAAAAAGATATGAAAATTCCTTTGGCTGTCTTCTGACTTAGAGGAATTCATTGGTTCTAACATACAGAGGTTGACAGGCAAATATAAATGATTGTCAAATGCTGTAAATATAATTACATCATATGCGGCATTGATAATATGCAGTTTTGAGGTTGTTTATACGTAAATTCTAACAGCAAAATAAAATGGAGAACTAAGACCACTTTTAGAAAGTCTACCCATCTCTTTCCATTTATTTCCTTTATTTGACCCCATCTCCACTTCCCATTACATATATCAATTTTTAGAAACAAAATGACATACAGATATGTTGATTGTCTATGTTGGACCCTAATAACTCATTTGCTCATTTTTGAGGAATATAATCCAAGGAAAATAGCCATTTAACTTCTCTCTTTCAGGAACTTTTGGGACATGCTTGGAAGAATTATACTGCCATCCTTTTCACCCATGCAGAAAAAATAGAAGAGGCTGGATTCAGTGAAGATGAATACTTACATAAGGCCTCTGATACACTGCTAAACCTACTAAATTCTATTCAGCATAGATATATTTTCCAGTATAAAAAAGGAAACTCACTTAATGCACAAAGAGTAAAAATCTTAGAAAGAATCATGGAATTTATAAAAGAAAATTGTTACCAAGTTCTTACCTTTAAATAAAATTAAGATGAAAGGAAAAGACCATTGCATTTTAGTGTCAGAACCTTTGGTTTCAACAGTGTCTTTGTTAGCATGGGTGTGGACTGTTAGAATTTCCATGTTGTTGGTAAGAGTATACATTGGTATTAACCTCTTTGGAAAACTGTCTGGTAGTTGAAAACATAAAGGGGATTCAAGATATCTAAGGAAAATCTTATGACACAGCAACTACACTCCTAAGTAAATATCTAACTGAAATGTATACATTTGTGCACTAAGAGACATGTATGTAAAAGAATGTTCATAGTACTGCTATGACAGCAGTACTACTAATCGTAGCTAAAAGATGGAAATTATCCAAATGCCCATTAATAGCAGAATGGACAAGCAAATTGGGGTATATTCACAAAATGGAATATTATATAGAAATGAGAATGAGCAAACCACAATTGCATGAGCAGTTCAATGAATTGTCCAAATATAATATTGGCAGAAAGAAGCCAGACATAAAAGAGTACATACTGTATGACTGCATTTGTATGAAATTCAAAACAGTGGCGATGAACATGTAATCTAAACTATTCTGATTTTAGAAGTGCTGGAAATCAGGAGAGTAATTATCCTTATTGGGGGGGAGGATCGTAAGTAAAAGAAAGCATGCACCAGGGAAGCGTTAGAGATTCAAGTAATGTTGTCTCTCAGTCTGGAGGCTGGTTTCACAGAGTGTGTTCACCTCGTGAAAATCCAATTCTGATTTATGAATTTTTTGGTATACATGTTAACCTTAAATGCAAGTTAAAATTAATGAACTAGTGAAATACGTCAGGCAGAAAAAGACAAATATCAAATGATTTCCCTCATTTGTGGAGTATAACAATGAAGCAAACTGAAGGAACAAAACAGATGCAGACTCACAGACTCCAAGAAGGGACTAGCGGTTACCAAAGGGAAGGGGTGGGCCGGTGGGTGGGGAAGAAGGGAGAAGGGGATTGAGGGGTATTATAATTAGTACACATGGTGTGGGGGATCATGGGGAAGACAGTGTAGCACAGAGAAGACAATAGTGACTCGGTGGCATCTTACTACACTTATGGATAGTGACTGCAATGGGGTAATGGGGGGGGGGACTTGATAATATGGGTGAATGTAGGAACCACATTGTTTTTTCATGTGAAACCTTCATAAGAGTGTATATCAATGATACTTTAATAAAAATAGAAATAAAAAACACATATACCAGAATTAAAAAAGTAATAATAATGAATGAACTATTATCCATACATTACAAACTAGCTCCACTGCTTACCTGATGCTAGGCCAGTAAAATTATCCTGAATGCCTATTTCCTCATTTGGAACATCTACTTCATAGTCACTGTAATGATTAAACACCTTGCATGAGTAGATGCTCAGTAATTTTTTCATTTTCTTATAACCCACGGTTCCTTTTGGCTTGAAAATATGGGTAAAACTCAGAGCCAATCCCTGTGGCAGAAACAAGCGTAACTGTAATAACTGAATGAAAACAGAGCTGCGACTTAAAGAAGAGGCTTCCTCTACCTTGGAAGGTGGGTCACTTTGGCTTAGTAGAGAGCTCCCGGATAGCCTCAAAGGCACAGTGAGGACTGAAGGAGACTACTTTTTGTCAATCCTAACAGCCAAGTGCCACCAAGTCAAAATCAGATCACCCTCATGTTTAACATTTGCACTTGACTTGCATAATTTATAAAATTATTTCACTAAGATAGTCCCCAATTCAGTTTTCAGTTAATCTGTCAGTTGTTTTTATGGTGTACACTACACTGTATTTTCCATTAGAAACAAGATTACAGGTGGTTATTCTCCCAGAGTAGTCCTCAAAAGCCTGCTTAATGCTAAATATTACCTGAACTCTAGCACAATTGGTATTAGAAAGCCTATAACTGAATGTTTCTATGGGAAAGATAATATAATCTCCAACTTGAAAAATTTCTCATTTCTCTGCATGCCCCCCTTCTATTGTTGTGGGTCCAGGATTGTGAAGTGGGAGCCTCCACAACAGGGCTGAGTTTGAGAGTTAACTAGGAATTGACTTCCCCAGGGGTTGGTGGCTTGGTAACAGAGAGAGATTTGAGGATGAGAAGTTGGAAATGCAGTGACTCGTGAAGAGAAGAGTGGAAAATTCAGTTGACCCTTCAAATCCTTCATTCATGTGATGTCAGCTAATTCTTCTGGAAAACAAACACTAGTTTCAGAAAATATGTGTTGTGCAGAACATCAAGGATTCAAGATCTCTGAGGCTGGTCTGGTGTTAATGATTAATAGAGAAAAGGTGCTTCTGGTTTCAAGGAGGAAGACTTCTGTGATGTTCTTCCCTGAATTACGTTACATTCAGATTTGCATATATATGTAATTTTTTTACACAAATCCCTAATGTGATATTACATATTTGACTTTTAGTGTTCTTATATTTTGCTTTTTTTGCTTCACTTTTACCTCTTTTTTCCTTCCATCTCTGCTCCTCTTCCCACAAATCAGCCCACAACAGGTAGCTAATGTCAACTAAAAAACATGGTCATGCACCATTTGTATTTTCTACATCTCCAAATCATCACACACACACACAGAGCACACATACACATATAATATATATTGGGATTTTTGTCTTTTATTGTAGTCTTCACAGCATTTTTTTTTCACTTAATTCTACCACATATAATTCCTCTAATATGTAGTTTAAAGTCATGTCTTTTAAAGGATTCAGAACATTTCATGATGTATATGTAACAATTTATGCAATTATTTGATGTGCACTCGTTTTTGGCCACCCAAAGCCATGCTCCAACAACTATTCTTACATATAAATATTTATATAATATCAACTTTTTCTGTAAGTTATATTCCCAAGGGTGGGATTTCTGGGTTGAAGTATATATACACTTTAATTTTAATATATCTTACCCAATTTATTTCCATAAATGTAACAAACTTGATTTTCAACAGTGTTTTTAACAGCTATATAGGAGTCTTTTCCTACATTCCTGTCATCTAATGGTATTATCATCTTAAACACGTATTGCTAACAGCAGTTTGATAAATATAGAATCATCTTACTGTTATATCCTACTTTTCATTTCCCAGACTGCTACTGAATTAGAGCATCTTTTTTATAAGCATATTGTTTATTTTAGATTTGTTCTAGCCATTGCTTCTTCACATTCTTTGTCTTTTTTTATCATTTTTTCCTGGATTACTTCTCACAAAGATTCATTCCTTGGACGAAAACCTTAATCACATTCCTGAACCTTCTCTGAGGTCCACCTGGGCGTGTTCTTATAAAATCTAGTTTTACCAAGAGCCTTACTAAATCAGTTTAACCAGAACCCTCCACACTCAATACCTGATCGGGTTCCTCATCTTCCACCATCCCTCAAGTGACATGTGATCACCTTGGTCTGTCTTTAGCAAAGATCCTATCAAGTCCATTTAGCCAAACTCTCCTTGACCCTTGACATTTCCTTAGTAATTTTCCATTCACTGACCCCTATTCTGCTCCTTGGCTATAAATTCCCACTAGCCTATGCCACATTCAGAGTTAAACCTTCTGTAAAATCCCATTGCAGTGGTCCCTATACCTATCTTAATGATCCTGAATAAAGTTCATCTATCTCTAACAAGTGTCATTGAATTTTTTTTTCTTTAATTCTGCTTGGCAAATTGTAAGACTGCTATGTATATTATAGATATTAACTTTCTATCTGTCCTTCATGTTACAATTTTTTTTCAGTTCTATTTATCTTTTACCTTTGTTTATGGGAACTTCTGCAAAACTAAATTTGTGAATTTTCTTATAGTCATGTATTTCTATGCACATGATTCAAGACAGGGTTTTAATTTCCTCTCCTTTCAGATGGGTAACCAATTGTATTTGCCCCATTTATTAAATAATTCACCCTTTCCTACTGAAGAATGGTAGAGAGAT